GGCCCGTCATTCTCTCCTCCTCAAGCATCACCACCTCATCTTCCTACTACTACTACCACCACCATCACCACTGCTGCTACGATTAGGACGAACACTACTGCTAACTTCTACAACCGATTACTGCTACCAGCAGCTTTAGCTCCCTTCTCCTGCTCCCCCCCCCAACAACTGCCCCCCCCCCAACCAACAATCACCGCTACTGCTGCTGCGACTGCTAGTAGTGCAAAAGCCTACCGCATTCTCCTGAACAGAAGACACGGCCATTATTGCTGTATCTGAGCCAACTCTCAGTTCAGATGGAGCGATAATGGCCGCGCTTTCTAGTAGGAGAAGATCGGAGTCCGTCTGCTCTGAGACTGAGAGCACCCACTTGATGGACGAAGTCTCTGCATCATGGGCGTTTCCCAAAAATGTAATTTTCCAAAACATTAACCTGCCCTGGAGATGTGTGCTCAATTTCAAAATTAATGTTGTGGATCTGTGTTTTTCTCCCCCCCCCACCCCCCAATAATTGCAGTAATGTTCTTAACATAGAGTGTAACGACCCTCCAGGGCCTCCATCATGGCTTTCTTCTTTTTCCCCGAGAACGTGTTAGTGTGAGTATGGCCTGCGAGTGGATGTATGAGAGGCGACAACACGACAGTCAGCTGCTGTACAGACCTCCAGAATCGTTTGTTTTTTAAAATGGCATACAGAATGTGCTTTGTTCACGGCTATTATGTGGAGTTTATAGCTTCAGGATTGTGTGCCATCATCCCAGTGGCATGCCCACCACACACACACACACGCGCGCACACAGAGAGACACACTCACACACACACACACACACACACACACACACACACACACACACACACAGAGAGGATAGTGGGGTGCGTAGCTGCCTGACATCGTGTGCCCTTCTGTCAACCTCGATGTATAAGAGAGAGAGAGAGAGAATAGTGGGGTGCGTGGCTGCCTGACATCGTGTGCCCTTCTGTCAATCTCGATTATGAATACAGTATACTCAGAATACATCAAATTTGAAAAAGAAGCCGATGCTTTCGATGGAGACTGCAAAAATGCAAAAATAGGTCGGAATGACAAAAGGAATGTGCAGAAACTCTGAGATATTGCTTTCCATGTTCGGGGCAGACATTCGCTTCCAGCGTCCGTCGTTTGTCTTTACAGCAGTTCCTCCTCACTCGAGGAGGCACCTCGAGGACAGGAGGGACGGATGGGTGCCATCATCTTACTCGGTCATTCTGCAAGAAGTCCACTTTGGGATAGTGCGATCAATTGAGAGTCTCGAGACTCAAGCAGTGGAATGGGACTTGGGGAGAAGTGAAAAGAATTGAAGAAGTAAAAGAAGAAGACTGTCTGAACACAGGATTGCAGCAATCAGGAGTCTTGACGAATGTCCTCTCCTCCCTCGGCCTTTCATCCTCGACTGCCCTCACGAATCTTGTCCCATTCCTGCGGAAAGGGATTCGAGGCTACGGCCGATGTTCTTATGAATCTTATCCGTCAAACCTATTCAACCCCTTGCACACACACACACACACACACACACACACACATCACACCCCCCCCCCCCC